GGTGGTGGCATTTTGGCGCCTTTTCAAAAAGTCGGGTAGGAGGACCAATATAGGCAGGATCGATCCGAAATCGTACTTTGCCTCTGAGCCAACAGTTAAAGATTCAACGATTTGCTGCTGCATGCAGGACGTGGTCGACAGCTTAATCGATCCAACGGATAAGCTACTCAAGAGCTTACTCTGGACGATGCTGGCAGGACATGAGGACTTGAAAACGCTCGAGAGGAAGCTCCTGCAATTTGTCAAAGCCCACGTCCGTAAATGGCCCCTCTCGCTCGTCAGCCCAGCTCGTCACACAGAAAATGCGCTAAATTGGTCATATGTCTGCACCAACGTCAAGCGCTTTCAACACTGGCGCTGTTTTACGACCAAGAAACTCCAGCATCAGCTCCATCTGATGTTCGTCCATAAAGCCAAAGGCAAGAAAAACGTCGGCACGGACACGGTGGAGGATGAAAGATCGCTGCGCAGACTGGCCAATGTATACGTCGACGAAGAGGAGTTGATAGAGCGACTCATGGCCGAAGCTCGCGAGGGAAGGATCAACATGAGACGCGGGCAGCAGCCACAGCTGAAACAACCTGGCGATGTGATAGAGGTAAGTGCGCTTGCGTTACTTGGGTTATCGACATTATATATGGGGCATTAATTATTATCATATTATCAACAGCGATGCTCCTGTGTGGACAGCTTCAAGTTAGCTGTAAGCAACATTTGCTCCTGCGTTGACGCTTCGATTCCACAACAGGACGCATCGATCTCGCTCGAGAGCCGCGTGAGCTGTGTCGAATCTGAGCTTGATAAGAAGCACGAGCAGCTTCAACAACTGACGGAGCTGCGTAATCTTATCAACGCTCGAATCGACCGCGTCATGGAGAGCACCACCAGCGTCCAACGCGAATTGGCCCTCGCCAAGAGCCAGCTTGAGGCGCGCAAACGCGCCGAAGAGGCGCACCAACAGCTTATGCGCGAACAAATAGCTGCCAAGGAGAGGCTGGCCGCCGCACAAGCTGCCCAACGTCTCAAACTTGGGTTAGCGAAGAAGCAGCAACAAATGACGATGGACAGCTTTTGTACTATCCGGGTGGACGGTGGTGTCGTCCGAAATCAGTTCAAGGTTCCGGAAAAAGGAAAAACATTGAGTGATGGTCGCACTTTGTTCACGGAAACTGAAAAGTGCCTCCTACTCGAACGAGTTTGTCGAAATTTCAAAAACGAAGGTGTATTATTCAAGAAATGTGATGTGAAGCTTTTTGCCGGCCACGAATTCATGGCGATGCGCAAAGCTGCCATTCGCTATACAGCGACACGCGAGCCAAGCTAATTGGTGAAGCTGGGTTTGACCCCCACAATGGCCGCCAAATTGATAAAAGAAGCCAATTCAAAAAAAACTTGAGTGGTGGCGAGTGACGATTTTGACTGAGTGTTGGAGCCAGTGTAGATTAAGCGTGTTTATGAATGTGTGTGTGAATGTGTGTGTACATCTTAGAGTATGAATTGATGAGTGGAATGCAGCCATTTCTATCTTACGATGAAATGCAAGTCTCAAGCCTTGAAAATGCAGAGAGCACTCCGTATGATGGTCAACTTTTCTTTTTTTTTTTAACAATGACAGAATACTTTTCAGTAACGGTACAGTTCCATATACAAATCCAATACAGTTCGGATTATCATTTTACGGAGAGTTTGGAAGCAAAATTATACCCATTAACACGTGGCAAATAAACTTTAAATTCGACGAAGATGCGGACGAGTCGAATCCAGAAAGCATAGAATTTCTAAAGAAGCACGGATTTGATTTCAATCGTCACAAACATGAAGGAGTGAGTCACGAGGAATTTAGGAAACTTCTCGTTGATACTGGAATCTTTGGATTAAATAATATTACATGGGTGACATTCTACGGTAATTTCGACATTGCCTATCTACTCAAACTGTGTGCGAATCGATGGTTTGATGATGCCCAGAGTTTTTTAGCAACGGTGTCAGAGTACTTTCCATCGACAATTGATGTTAAAGTACTGATCGAAAAAAATTATATTAGAGTTCGATCGAAAGAGCTTTTAAAACTAGCCAGTGAACTGAGGATTGAAGTTAACAATAATGAACTGGCACACCATGCAGGCTTTGACGCCCAGGTCACTTTTGCGTGCTTCAATTATATTTTTAACTTTTATAATACAATGCCATCAGAGTTAAACGGAAAATTTATGTATTTAAATATTCGATAATTTTATATGTTCATGTATTTAAATTTTGACTTCTCATAATTACTGGGTGAAATAGCAATTTGAGTAAAATGTATGTAGAAAAAAACAAAAAACAAAAAAAAACAAAAGAAAAACAAAAAAATGTAAATAATGTATGAAGTTATTATGAAATAAAACAATCTTTAACTGATAAAATGAATATTTTACTCCGTCACACCACGAATTGATAGCTAAGGTTCTCCAGGCTCGTTTTCTCTCTCTCTCTCTCTCTCTCTCTCTCTCTTTTACACATTTACACACGCATCTCGATAGCTAAGGTTCTTCTGCACTCGGTTTCACTCGCAATACTATTGTATAAAAGACATTTTTCGTTATACTATTTCATAAAAATTAATTGTTTTAAGATTGATCTAATAAAGTGTGTTTTCCGTTATTTTCTTCATAATTTTAAAAGTATCAGCGGTGAACATGTGTTTCCAATTATAAATCTAAAACAGGAAATCGTAATAAAAGATATCGTAGACGAATAAATGTTACGTCTCTGTGCTGTACGGAGACAAAGAGAGAGATAGAGCGAGAGGGGGGTGAACCTTTACCTTGCAGCTGCTGCATAGACATTGATTTGGCACGTATCACTTTTTAAGCTGATAGATTGTAATTCATTTTCTAAAAGTTGTATGAATTTAGACTTGAGCATGCATTAGAAAACATAAACTTGTGACATCAAGTTGATGTCGTCACTTATGTCGATTAAACAAATACAGCTTTGAAGACACTACCAGAAAAATAAACAGGTCGGGCAGTTCCATCTGTATGAGTGTGAGTTGAGATTGACATCGTCCAAAAAATCTCCCATCCATTATACTGCTACCACTTCTTCGTTTCAAAATATTTCTATGCGAAGCCCTAATTCATTAGTAAGTCCTCGCTCCACTTTTTCTAAATTTAGTGCCTATACTTCATTATGCTATTGCCGTTATAAAGTTGTTTTTTAATTTTGTTTAAATTACCGTATCAATTATTTTATTTCCGAATCAACTTTTAAGTAATCGTACAAAAGACCGACCTGTTAATAAGTGACGTTCTAGTATCCGGTCAAATTTTGTAAAATTTCGAAAAATAATTTTAATTTTAATTTTAATTTTGACAAAGAAAATTTAAAAATTAATCTCAAAAGAGATTTTCAGTAAAAAAAGTGTAAACTTCGTGAATTGTAATTAAAAAGTGCCCAGTAATTAGTATTAAGAAAAATCACTTTGCACCAATATCCGGTCATTTTTTAACACGGGATATTTCCATTGTTTCATTTAAAAAACTGTTTGCCAGACTGAAACTACACTTACAAATGATAATTAACTTGATTATAGCATTTATAGTAGATTACATCACAAGATTTCATCACGTGATGTATACAATTTTTCTGTATCCTCCGCCGAAAGTAAAAAATAACAAATTGATTATTAATGATATATCAGACAAGAAAATGCAACTTAATTCTGCTGTCGCGTAGCACTTTAAACTTTCGGGTCATGCGCTTGCACCGCCCTCTTGCGACCATCATATTATCATTAATATTAAGTGCGTGCGATCTATTTATTTACGTTGTCTGCTTGTTTATGTTTGCATTCGAGGCAAGCTTGCAACTTGGACAGGTAACAGTTGTCTATTATAGAATTCGAGTAGTCTTAATTTTTCATTTTAAGTAAAACGACTATGCTGACGAGTTGAAGTTACCATTAATGATAATGAAAGAATGAACAGGGAAGCCCGACATTTGCAAAAACGAGGCGAAGCCGAGTTTTTGCTGGTCGGGGCTAATGAAAAATAATACAATCAATAGTGTAATAGAAAATAGATGAGAACAGGTAATAATTTAATTTCACAATAAGAAATCAGTTGTCATCTCTTGATTTGTTGACAGAAAAATTAAAAACGCAATTATTAAATGTACAATTAACAAAAATTTTTCTAACGGATTAGTATAGACTGCATTTATGTTGATTTCTCGATTATTAAGCTTCGTTTTTTTTGTAGGAATGTTATGCTCATTCGCTAGATTAAATTTGACTTTAACTGCTGGCTGTGCAAATAAATTAAGCTCCTATTGCAAATAAAACTATTAAAAATATATCTCGAATATAAAATGAAGTTTTTTATTATTTTTAATTTTATTGTATTTTATATCAATTCATGTGTAGGGAACAGTTATATATGTTTAATATCAATAATAATTGTAGTTTATTCATGTATATTATTTCTATAAATAATTGTTTTTGAAAAAATTAACAAATTCATTGATTTTTTTCATTTTACATATCATATATGCATCTTTAAATACATAAGATGAATGCAAGAGTGCGCTGCTAGCGCAGAGCAAAACATGTAAACATTTACAAGAGGCCGTAAAAGTCGAACTTTCGTGCGCAAAAACACGCATGAAAGTCTATACTTTCGGCCATAGGATACAGAAAAATTAATTTTCATGCTACCCCATCCGGAACTAACCTTTTTCGCCCCGGTAACGTAAACGAAAAAGTTAATTTCGACTGGGGGATTCATGAAAAATGAAAAAGCGCGTGTAATTATCGTCCGAGGCAGAGCCGAGACCGATAATTACACGTGCTCTGAGGCTTTTCAGTTTTTCGCTCCCTATAGGCACGTAATATACTATTGAAACCTGTCCAAACATTAATATAATTTGAATAAAAATGGCCGAGTATTCAGTCGTGGTCAGGTATTAGTACCGTCATACTATTATTTTATTATATAACCTATATTCATCTATAAGGATAACAGAGTACGAGAAACTTGTTGATGTTGACTTAACTTGCTAAAGTAAATTGATTTTTTATTGTGCTCTGCAGCGAATTGTTGTTTAAAAGCCAAAATTCTGTTTTCGCGAAATTCTAACAGTTTGACTTCATACACAGTTACTAAATATCGATATAAATAGTTTTTATCAACACGAATACCTATATTTTTATTTTCACAAAAATTGTCAAAAAATTGTCTTAACGCGAGTTTGAAAGATGGAGTCTATTAGACCTTTACTTGGGTAATTTTATTATTACATTCTTTGAATTGTAACTATTATATACTACCTTTTTATATGAATTTCTATTTTAGAATAAAGCAAGAATGTGACAATGTGTCATCAAATGAAGGTTATATAGATAGTCATGATTGGTATATCATGACAAGTCCATTTAATAATCAAGATATTAAAAATATTTTCCCGAACGAAAGTTTTGTATGTCCATTATAGTCAATTTAGATCGACATTTTGTAATTTATTTCGAAAGGAATCAAACTTAAGTAACATTTAATTGCAGGTTCACGGGCCACAACTTGCAAATTTTTCTGCAGTATCACAGTTTACATTCAAAGACGAGATAATAATCGATTTTGAATGCGAGGATGTCAAGCCTGGTATAGAATTTTTGCGCCCAAAAATCTCCGACTTTAACTCTACAAATGACTCAAATAATGTGAGAGTTGAAAAGTACAAGCGGCCAAGCAATATTGTTGAAGATGAACAAGTGAGAGTAAAGAAAAAAACGATTCTACGCGCTAATGAAAAAAATGAAACTTGTAAATGCGAGAGACGTCGAAAGAGCGATGGGCGAAGAGTTGTTGCGAAAAAAGGCGATAGTGTGGTGCCAAATAAAATCAAGCCACACAAGTGTAAAAAATGTCAAAAGAAATTTGGAAAGAAGGATGCTCTGAAAATTCACTTTAGCTTGGTACATGGTCATGTCAAATTCGAATGTGACATATGCAAAAAAGAATTCAATGATAAAAGTAATCTTAAAAACCACATTCACAACGTGCATATTCGTTTAAAATCCCACAAATGTGATGAATGTGATAAATCGTTTGGTGGGAAAGGCGATCTCAAAAAACATATCGATAGGATTCATAACTGCAGCAAACCTCATAAATGTAAAGTATGTAAAAAATCTTTCTTCAAAAGGAATGATTTAACAAAACATGTTGATTCGGTACATACCAATAAGAGTCGCGTTATTTGTGATATGTGTAAAAAATCGCTAAGTCGAAAAGATAGTCTAAGAAATCACATAAAAAATCAACATAATAAAAATAAGAAGTTGAACTAGATGAACGACGAAGATTGAAACAAAGTTTTTTTTTGTACTTATAAAATATTTTTATTGCTTAAATATTTTCTCGATGAATATTTAGAAAAGCTTTCTGATAATGTTAATTACATACGTACATAATTGCACGATTTCCGTAAAATTTTTGTTTCCAATTCAAAATGTACTTCATAAAAATTTTTTAAATAAAAAGTGTTTTTTTACGACGTTTCATGGATTAATTAACCTCTATTGATCTTCATATTATCGAACAATTTTGTAGAGAGCTTGAATATTCAAACGCTATTTTTTCACTCTTCTATTAAGGGAGTTGAAAATTAGTTAAACCACATTTTCTAATAATTTTACACGATGAACATTATTTCACGGCCCGCCTGTAATTTTTTTTTCTGGCAAAAAGTTGAATTGCAAAAGGTTGCAGCGAAGGAGCGCACGAATGATAAATAAACTGTAATCCTTTAAAAGGTATTTCTAATTATTTTTAGAGCGTGTATTTCCTGCATTGGTTAATTTAGCTGAAAACAAAGCTGATTTGCAAGGGCGCATGCTAAACAGTAAATCTTGACTAACAACGCGAACGAGCTTATACAGCCGATGCGCGCAGTTGGGAAATATGAGTCGTGAACACGCGAACCAGAGGCGAATAACAACACCGGTACCGAGAACATGCCATATACATGTACTTGCGCAGCTGCACATGCAGCATAGACCAACACATATAGACGGAAGGCAGCGAGGACACGCGAGCCGACTCGCAGCTCGCAAGCCTGCTGTAAGCTGTATACCGCATGCACAGCCATACAGCCGCACGCAGTTGGCGCGCGCATATTTTCCTCACTTTTCCAGGTGTCATTTTATCGTCCCTCTAGGGTTAATTACGCGCTCGACTGCAAATGATGGGCCGTGTCCGCTGCTTTTTCAGGTCATAACGGGAAAATCACATGGACGCGCTGCGAGCGTGCGCGCGCGCCTCAACGCTAATTAATTGAAATCCTGTTGTAAAATTTTAGATAACTCAAAGCGCATATACGAAATACGCTTTTCTAATCTCGGCGATTAATAATAATTGTTTCAAAAATGTGTACGTACTGTAGGCTGCGCGACGACGGCTGCGGCGGCGATGAAGGAAGAAACTCGCCGCATGCTCAGAATGCGAATTTAATTGAACGCTTATCACACTATTGAATCGTAGAACAACGAATGTAGCCTCTCGGAGTAGACTGCCTACGTTATTCCGTTGCCCATTGGATAGGTGCTCGATGCCAAGTCGCATTACTCTACTGTTAATTATCTCCGAGCATTCGACGTAATATATAATAAATTATATTATAATATATCGTTGCGTAATTTCGTTTGAAAAGCTTTAAAATGCGGTACTTAGTTGCATCGCGTCGCGCGCGCATTGTACGTAAAAATAATTACTCGCTTTAGCATCGCGGAGAAAAGAAAGAAAGAAACGGCCGAACGAAAGAGCGACGTCGATCGTTGCGAAATATCGGAGCAAACAGACGACGAGGTTTGGACGCCCAGAGTCTCTGAAATAAAAAAAAAATTCGTCGAGTACGTAAAAGTCGCATTAGAATAACTGGATCGTCGAGCATCGTCGACACAAAGCCTGTGCGAGCTTCCGCCTGCGGCTCTCAGAAGCGTACACACACATAGAGGGACAGATCGCCGACTATGTGGAGTATAGCACAGGAATAAACACGGCGAAATACGAAAAAAGAGGCAACGCGCGTCTAAACCGCACGCCGGTCGCAGAGGAAAGTCTCGCGTATAGTCCGAGCTCGGATTTTTCTCGAGGAAAGTCTTATTATAGTTTTAGCGATGGCGATACGGAGATCGCACGTGCTCGCCGAGCCTATTTATGCAGGCCGCAGCGCAACACAGCAGCAGTGGCAGCGGCACAGCGGAGAAAGGTGAAAGAGAGAGTTGCTGAAAAATGACTCTTGTGTGTATGTGTGTGTGCGGCGCGCGCGAGCGGCCAATTAAAGTCGCCTTCGCGTATCGACGGCGACTCGCGCGAGCCCCGACTCGTCGTGCAATACATAAACTTATCGCTCGAGCCTCAAAAACACGCGCCTCGTTTGTCAGTTTCAGCTTGGCTTTATCCAAGATGCATTTGGATTTACAAGCTGCGCGCGGCGTACAGCGGCTTCGATATCGCCCTCGGCTGCAATCGGACAAAGAGCCGCGCTAATCGTTCGATTTTGACGCAACCTTTACTAATGTCGAGGTGTTTCGCTCCCGATATAAACTTTTATACGCAACGGCGTCACAAAAGGCTTATGCTCGCGGCATTAGGCCGACGTCGACGGCTAATTAGGATAGCAGCTTACTTTCGATGCTAAACTCGGCCATCAGCGGAAATCGTCCTCGATATTCAGCCGCAAATAATCGAGAGAGCCGCTATAAATTAGATTCAGCGCTGCGGCGATCGGCGTCTTTTTGTCTTTCTCCAGCGGCGCACGGCGTCCGGTCGTGTCCGGTGCAAGCTGCTGCTTAAACGATTTTCAATGATTTCCAATGCGGCCCCGGATAGACGCGGCTGACGCTGGACATCGGTAGCCGACATTGATCAATTCGTTTGGCTCGCGTCGCGACCACGTCTCTGCGGAGCTCATTTCGATACGCAGCTGATTTCGTCGCACAAGTGTCCGGTCAAATTTCTAGCGTCCGCCATTTCGTTGATTAATTACTGTTACATCGTCCCTATGGTTAAGCCTCATCGACCATCAAAAGGCTGAAATGCTTATTTTATACCAAGAAAATGAAGCAATAGGAGCACGAGCTTCAGATAAGACATGCGATAAAACGAATAAATGCCGTCATGAAATTGGCACTTTGATTTCGCAAAAAGGATTTGATAGAGTAGGAAAACTCAACATCGTCGCGTGCGTCGCGATCCTCAGCTGCGGGATGATTCAATCGAATGAATTAGCCGCGCTCGCGACCAACATTTTTTCACCTCAGCCTGCGGCTCTCTTCGACTCTGCCCGCCTCTTGTTATCTCGCGGCAACTCGCGCAGTCCCCGACGTGATTATTGCGCTCTAGCCCTTGAGTTACCGAGTTCTGTCTCGGTGCCTGTATATAAGAAACGCGTATAAACAGGTTATTCGCACCAAATCATAATGATAATGATAATGATGATGATAATGATGATGTTGCGCCGCACACGGCGCTGCGTCTCGGCACAACGAGAGATACGTGTACGCGACGAGGCGGCCCTTTTAGCATGAGCCGCGTCGTACCGATGTGGCATAGGACGATTTCTGCGTCCGATCGAGAGTCTTTGTGCGGAGCACACACGTACACGCACGCATTAAAGTGATAATAATGTAAAGAGCCGGCCGGGAAATGATGTTGCTCGCTGCGCGTTGCGGATTAAAGGAGTGGCTCGCAATCGTTTCGCAGTTTGACCCCGCGCGCACCGGCAGCCAAAGTATTTCTATCATTTTTATGCGCGCATAAATCGCATAAATCTAACACGGCGCGTTGCAGGTTGTTGTTATTGTTGCTGTTGTAGCAGCAAAAGCTACGAATTATTATTGCAGTCGCTGTGCGCCGCGAGTTTTTACATTGAATCGACCGCAGCAGCAATTCGCAGCTGTAGCAAAGAGTCGACGAGCCTGCCGCGATAAAATAGGTAGCTTTGTATTTTAATGTACTTGGGAACGGTTCATTTGACTGGCTAGCTCGGCGCTCAAAGATTTAGATGCCATAAAGCTCGAAGAAGGCCGCGAGCTCGAGACACAGTCGCGTCGAGAGGTATACACGCGAGTAGTCGGCGTTAGCTAGTACTGCACCGACGCGACGCACCGATTTTACACCGATATATATTGCGCGCGCCGCAGACGAGAAATTAGAAAAGCAGTTATACGCGCCTTCCAACCGTCTATGCGCGCTAAGTCGACGTCCTTTTCGCGTTTTATGGATGTATATGGCAGCTACACCCGTGCGTGTATATACAGACCCCCGCCTGTATCCGAGCATCGTCCTCCATAATATAACTATATAATTTAAAGATTTCAGATTTATGATCGACGCGGTCGATTTTGACCCACAATACGCTTCAATATTACTTGCGCCGTGCAGGTGCTACTCAAGCTGTGAATACTCATATTTCTTTGTCGAGCCGATTGATGAATTTCCTAATATAAAGACAATTACGGCTATTTATGACAATACTGGCATTTGCGTAAACGAGAGTAATCCCGTGAAACAAACGAATCTGTTTGTGTCAAATCAATATTAGTGTTATTAGTTTAGAAGGACTGCAAGTGAAATCTTTCGTTAAAGTTTAGTTCAATTATTATAGTATTGCGTTTTTTTTTATTTCATGAATTTTTTGTGCATTGGGTATACAAGTTTGTAATCCAAACGAGCCAAACGAATGTTCAGCTGAATTATTTATCTTTCAAGGGTTGGTTAAAAGTTTCAACCGCAAACGCTTTGCGTGTCTTTCCGTGTAGGCTATTTTCTAGTCGAAATAAAGCAAAATAATAACTTTCTATTACATGGCTGTGTTATTGGAAACAAATAGTTTTTTGTCTTGGCGCAGACGGCCGTTTGATGAGCTCAATGAGCAGATGTTTTTATTTGCTTTCCATAGAAAGAACAGCGATTCATTGACCGTGATTATTTTAATCTGAAAAAACGATTCGCATATAGAGCGATATTTTATAAAAAGACTCAACGAGTTTTTGCTTGGAAAAACATTGAATGAACGACTGTGACAATAGCGTAAACACGATACATTTTTTTTATACAATTAAAAGCTTGACGCTCGTTTAAATTTATTTCAGCACTTTTCGCATGAAAGATCTCACACGCGTAACAAGAATATCTTATGCAAATGTACGAGGGAGTTTTCCTAAAATAGCAAATGTACTGAAAAACGTTGCAGGAAAATGAACTCGAAAAGGTAAATTTTTTATGTTATTTTCATATTTGGACATTTAAATGGGAACGGATGTCAGAAAAGCAGTTATAATGGAGTTATTAATGTAATAAAAAGTCAATCGAATCGATCGAGTAGATTAAAAAAGTTCAGGAATCGTGTCTACAGCCGTGTCTCAAACAGCACAGCGTTACAATGTAGAAGCTAGAAGAGGTCTTCGGAAGAAGCTGCATCTTGCATGTGGAAGTAAAGTTGCGGTAGTGGGCGTCGCTCTGTCTCGTTTCAGCTGCAGCTGTGGACCGAGCAGAGCAGCATCGTCGCTCCATCTCGCGTCGTGCACGCGGCTCGCTGCAGTCTGCAAGTCTGTTTACTGCACAGTAGGGTGTCCGTTATTTCCCGACTTTTTTGTATTGCTTCTCCCCCCACCTAGATGTCTTCTATTTGATAAGACAATGAGAAAGCCGGGTAATANACACGCTATTTGAGAGTAGACCGCTGACATTTTATTTTTACCTGCACAGCTGCCCAGTGCATTTCCGCATTCACATTCATCAAAATAAATGAAATATGGAATCACAATATCTTGACAATGTTTTGGGATATATTTTTGCCTGAATAAATCAGCTTGAATAATATTTTTTATAATAAGGGGATTATTTTCCTCAAGTAATTTGGATCTATATTCCATTATGGAATTAAAAACATTTGGAATTTCCAGAAAATGTTTTAAAGTGATCTTTAAAGGCATCACAAGAGCAAATACTGGGTCGAAACTAACATAAGTGTGATTCCCTTCCGATTTTTTTTCTAATACATTTCCTATCTCAGGAACCTGCGGATTACGATAATTGATTTTACGTAATAAATTGAATCTATTATCCTCTGTATTAAGTGGAACAAACAACGTTTTATAATCGTCAAAAACGGAATTTAACTTCATTTTAGTTCTCTCTGACAATTGTTCATTTTCTAATGCTTCTAAAATATCTGCTCGAAGAGATGGTATGAAATGATTTTGATTAAATTTATCAAAAAAATCAATCACGGTATCAACAACCGATCTAGGCAAGTTAGAATCTGCATAAATATTTAAAATAAAAATTAAAAGTTCTTTGATTAAGAAAAAAAGATCCATGATAATAAAGATTCAAAGATAGGGCTATAAATAATAACAATAGAATACAAATTTGTATTATTTTTGTATTGTATTTAACAAATACGTGATTTTTACTTAAAAATGAAATTTACATCTGATAAAATACAAATCTGTATTATTATATCTGTACATATGTTTCAAAAGGATGTGATGTTTAATTTAAAAATTAATTAACATTTGAAAAAAAACCTTATTTCTTATTTATTTGCAATTTTTCAATTAAGTTTTTTGTCACAGCATGAGTCTTATAGACAAAAAATAAGCTCTTATTCATCGGTATCTTATAGATAATAAATTGAAAAAAAGCATGAATTGGCTCACAGGCAATGGGCCATGAACGCAGAGCTGCTTGACACTTAATGCAAGTTAAAATAGCTTTGAACGGATTAGAATAACTTATAATAGTTCCATTAAATACAAGATAAGATTTTGAAATTGATTCAATCGTTCCACATAAAATTACATACAAAGGTATCCTAATAGAAAGTTTTTCTAGAGTTTTTTCGTGATTCTCCCTATCTACAGCTAAATTTGAATCATCCTGTAAAAAAGTATTTGTGTAATTAAAAATAAGAATGAAGAAAATTAGAATAAAGTATGGGTAGAGAAGCTTACCTTAAGATGTAGAAAAAAAGCATCTGCAGCTTGCTTTCTAGTGATCCCTTCGTGAGTGTTGTTCAAGTACCATGGCAAAGCGAAAAGAGCCAATAGATTGTCATGTTTACCTGTACAAATGAAGCAAACAGATATAATTATAAAGATGCACTGACATCGATTATCAAATATTTACATGAAATAAATTAATTACCTGCATCTATTAAAGGTTGGTGCTTTTTCTTGAAATTTTTTATGTTTTGGCCAGAGGCAACTTTCACAATTGCCATAAATTTTTCAGCGATGATTGGCCATTGAGTTTCAAAAAAAGTTTCACTTCTTGCATAAAACTCGGTAGTTATTTTAGTAGAAATATAAAATTCGTTAATTATAGTCTCAAAATCAGATACCAACTGCAAGAGACCATGTAACATAATAATAATTATAATATTTGTAAACAATTCAAAGATCTATATTTTATAAAGTGGTAGATTACCAATGATATTGACGAGTGATCTAGAAGGCATTTAAACGAATGAACATAAAGTGTCGGTGTTAATAGGAAATTTTTTCCTTCTTTTTTACACAACAAATCGATCCTCTGCTTGAAAGTGTCTGTCCACCTTGCTGAAACTATAACGTCGTTATACTTTTCTCGATCGGCATCAATCAAGCAGTCGTAAAATGAAGCAAAAAGCTCTGTAAAATACATAATAAAATATTAATTTATTATACATTGTCATTTTTATGCGTGTTTGAAAATATTAGATAAAAATTAGATAAAAATAAATGCATGTATATTAGCAAACTAAAGATACAAAATATTCATGTAACAATTTGAAGTACATGACCAATTTTTAAAACTTACGTTTTTTGGCAGACTCTGTACTTATTGAAGCTGCTTTATCAGTGGCATTTTCTTCAATGTCGTCGTCGTCGTCGACGATAATTCCTACTTTTCGATACTTTCTTCTAACTTCTTTATAGGACCAATACAATTTTCCTCCCTCAGATACTTCCAAGGTGGTGCTGGTGCTTTTGGCGTGTTCTATGTACCACAAATCTTTTTCAGTGGTTGGGAAAACTTCAGCCAGTTGATCACGCAACCACACGAAAACAGGAGTAGTTATTCTGCAATTGATTACATTAAAACTATTTTATTAAACATGAACAAATTTGTAAGTTCAAATCACTACAAAAGTTTTCTACACATACATTATAATTTACATAGAATTAAAGCATAAAAATCACAGTTAAATAATAGAGAGTACACATAGAAATGAAACTCTTAATCTACAATTAGTAAGAAAAGGTCTATTTTTAACATAAAGTAGTTGAAGAGTAAATTTCAAAGTTGTTGATTTGGCAAAGCATCCCTTGGTTTTACATACTTGACTTGAAATCCTGTCAAGTATTAAGAAAAATACTGCTAATAAATATTAAACATTTAATATAAACTTTAAAATAAGTTTATTTTCTTTACGTTAGTGACAACATTTAAATATATAATGCCTGGAGTGACTTACATATAAAACAGAGGGTCTTTATTAATGTATCTGTATATAACAATGGGAATAACTTTAGAAAAGTCGACTTTTCCAAATTTTTCATATTTTCTCAAAATAAAATTCCCTTGGTCACTGCCCTCAATTAAATAATAAATTTCATTTTTTTTAAAAGTAAATGGTTCTGTAATACATACTTTAATCAGATCAACAACAAAAATTAAAAATAATCTATAGAGATGGAAAAAAAAATTAAAACCTTCCACTGGTGTTTCTAAATTTGATCGCTTACAGGGATTATCAATTTCTGCTACAATAGTATCTTCTGGTGAATGTGGTCTCTTATTATTTATAATATTATTGTTAGTATTTGAAGAGGATTCACTATTTCTATCCAAATGTAAATTTTTCTCAAAAAAATAAGATGAGATAAATGAATTTTTTTTACTTATTGAGAAAGGCTTTAAAAGTGACTCAATATTTGAAATTTCAACTGTGTAAAATTGCTCTGACTCTATTCCGCAATCTAAGAAAGATTAAAATGAAAAAAATAAAGGCTATAGATGTAAGAAGTTTAGTCCTATATTTATGCTTACTTACCCCAAAAGTGTTTGCAAACATCTGCCAAATCTGGATATTCTTTTTCAAAAGAATCCATGCTGGAGACTAATACAGGAGTATTTTGAAACAATCACCAATTCAGATCGAAGTTGTTGGTTAGATTTATAAATAACGCACGCGGCACTGAATAAACTTAATAATTATACACGATGATTATGTATACACGTATATATACACGTATATAGCAACAATAATAACAGCAGTGCGATAAAGATTTGCAGAAATGCAACTCACGATACAATCGTATGTTTTTGCACGATACTTCAGAGTCTTTAAAACTCTTGCAAAAGTGTGTGTCGTGCTTTGTCTTTAAAGCGGGAGAATCACACGTGTGGCGCGGGACGGTTACTCGACCATCGAGTATCTAGCACACGATGACGTTTAGTTAGCAGCGCCACGGCAGTTTGAGTGTCGTATTCACGACGCTGTGTGCGGCTCACTCGTTCGCCGTTTCAGTGGAGACTCTAGAGTTGGCGATTCGCTCAGTGTCGGCCCGAGCGTGTCTCCGAGCGCGTCTCTCTTTATCTCTCTGCAGCAGCAGCCACCTTCCTTTTTTTTCGCCCGCGTCTCTCCGACCGATGCTGCTTGTCACTTAGTTCGGAGCCACCTCGAGTTTTTCGACCTTGTTTTTTTATTTTATTGCTGCTTTTTGTTATTGTTGTTACCTTTTTGTTTACATTGTTGTTGTGATTGTTTGATGTTGTTGTTGTTTCGTCGAGATCGGGAAAGTGCGCGTTGCAGTGTGTCGGGCCTCCGCAGAGTCTCGAATCCTTCGCAGTATACATAGCGATTCTCTGTGCTCCGAATTTGACGTATGCAAATTGCTCCGACATCAGTGGCTTTCGCGCTCGATCGTGAAGCTCTCCGACGACTTTGCGTCGTCCTTGCTGGACGCTGCTGGATATAACGATGATCCGGACCAGTTGATTTACTCGAGCAGCAGCAACAGCATCAACGGACGACGGGACTCGTGTCTATAGAAAAGGTGCGTCTTGTTTTATCCAGCACGAGAGAGAGAGCGAGATACTGTAGCTAATGCGAGTGTACACAAAGTCGTACTTTCGTATGCATGCCGTGTTTCGCTCGTGTAAGCGAGTCAATGTATGCGTGTGTGTGTTTTGCAGTCAAGGGTCGAATGCAACTGCGACCAACGCGTTTCTGCCATGCGCGATTTAGGGTTATGTGCATCGTCTGACGTCTCTTCTCTGGACAATACCTAGCTTGCGGTCTGCGTGCAGTTTTAATCGACTATACTGCACCGTTTAGTTGCTTTACTCGATTAGCCAGATGAAAGCTAAGCACTCGATCGCCGGTAGTCACAGGCATATGCATACGAATCGGACGAATGACGGATATAAGCAACGAGAATGCGCGACGAATGACAGCTAGCTGCGAACGTCGCGTTAGACTAATCCTCGTGCGTGCGAAAACGCAGCTGAATTTTAAACGTCAGCGTTGTATGTATGCAATGTGCTCGGTTCGGTGCACGAGTACTTATACTCGTTGGAGTCGCGATCAGACTCGGCTATATCTATACTTGTACGTGTGCTTTGGTATATTATGTATTGACACAGAAGCAAAGAGAGAGAAAGAGAGAGAGAGCGAGTGCACGAGGCCGCGACTCTGCACTCGCGGAGAACGCGTTCTGTACCCTAGCATGAGGGAGAGAGAGAGATACCTACTTACAGCCCGTAGCTATATAGGTATAACGATGACGATGTGTGCGTGCCGTGTACGTGTGTATGTATACACGGGAAACGGTACACGGTTCTCTCGTCGCTGCTCTTTCTTTCTCTATTCTGCTGCTGCTGCTGTTGCATTCGCTGCGCTGATGCTGCTGCTGCTGCAACACAGCCAAGAGCAACTATACCAGCTCTATATAAGTAGTAGCGGCTATAAGTTTACGCTTTTGACGTGCTCTTGCGTGTGTTTGTGTGTGTGTGTGTATATGTTATACGCGCGCCGCAGCAGCAGCTCTGCCGATGCACATTTTGCACGACTCGTTTCCAAGAGCACACGGGATGATCCTCTTTGTCTGCACAGAAGAGCGAATGTATGCGCTCTTTGATGGTTTATTTTAGCTCGATTATGCAGCAGCAGCAGCAACATCGGCAGCTGTAGCTCCGCGTAATAAATTGTCGAATGTCGCGAAGCTTTTCGGTCGAATCCTGCAGCGAGTTCGTGCAATTATCAATCAACACAGGCTATGCCAGCTCAAAGAGTAGATCCGCGAGGGATACACGTTTGCTTTTGATTAGTCAAAGTCTGCAGCTATGGAGAACGACACAAAGACGGGCGTGCGTCAGTAATTATCCTGCAGCTAGTATTCGTTATCAATTTTTTTAATTCGTCTCAATCTGTTTTAATCCGTTGATCGTCGAGTAATGTAAATAGTCTCTCTCTCTCCCTCTCTCGCATAAGAGCGCGTCAAAGGTTATCCATGTCCTTATCGTTATCGTTGCATTTCGTAGAGGGAAACAGTTGACCGAGAACAAGTTCGCGCGGCGCATGCAAACGAGTTGGTCGATGCTCTTCCAGCGCGAATTTTCGGAGAAAGTTGGCTGCGCGGGGCACTTATTGTTATAACACACGGGAATCGATCGATCTGCCTCGCTGTGTAGCGTAGTACGTGCAGCGTCGTTCTATCGGCGCGCCGATTATATATTACAGGTACGCCTGCGAGTCGCGAGCGCGTCGGTGCACGCGTACCTGTGGCATACTCTACTCGATGGAAAGCCTCGCTTCGCATTGCACGTATAAGTAGAGGAGTACGACCTCGTGTGTGTCGAGCATGCATATATAGTTGCAGTCGCAGCGTCGGTGCATCCTGCTGCACTGCGCGCAGCTCGAGTCTCGTATTCCTCCTGGCCTGTGCAGCGTGGAATCGTATGGGGCAACAACGGCGAGTCCTTACGTCGCCGCCGCCGCCGCCGCCGCCGCATTGTCTGTGCATCTGAGCACGCGTACACTTTCATAATAAAGCGCCTCCTGCAGAACCGTTGATATTTAGGACATGTACACAGCCCTTGCCCCTTCCTTAGCCACTGACCGTATCAGCTCGCACATATGCGCGCGAAACGCACGCACATACGCGCTAACCGTTATCCTGTATACAACTATAAACGCTCGACTTTTTTCTCGCTTATACCTGCGCTCACTCTGCCGGGATAATTATTATTTTTTTTATTTTTTTTTTAACAGTAGTTGAACGAACCAAGAAAAAAAAGAAGAAGAGAAAAGACCTTAACGCGCAGTAAGAAGCTCTCGGCTCATTTGTTCGTTTGTTTTACCCTTTCCGCACTTTCATTTTGTGCATTAAGCTGCGTGCTGTTATTATGTATCCCCTTCGAGGCTGCTCGCTGCAATATTGCTCGAGCTCGAGCCATTGTGTCGTTTCGGCCAGCTGCAATTTCGCTCGCGCGTCCGCAATATTCTCTTCGGCGCAGTGCTGACCTACATTTTTTGGGCGAATTTGAGAGCTGGCCGAGAAAAAACAACACGCACGATGCGGGCGAAGAAAACAATAAGATGCCAAGGCCCGCGAATAATACGCGCGCATTTTTAATGCGACATTCGTGTATACGTATATGCGCGAGCGCGAGGCAATTGTGCGCGCACGCAAATCATATGAAATTAAATTGATGAACGACCGTAATATATACGAATGTGAATAATTGTATGAAAAACCAGTGGGCTAAATGAAGCAATTATATTTCATAAATGTCCCTACGATGCGGATGCGTTCATGCTCGCTTCAATGTTACTCGTTTGGGAGCTTAATAAAGGAACTTTTGCAGCCCGTGACGAAGCTGCAACGATTCTGTGTCGTCTCCTTCGAAGAATAAATTACGCCAACTTGTGCGCCTGCAATGTAGTCATTTTGTACAAATAACAAGCGCGCGCGCGGAAATTGTTATGATCGCGGTGGCGGAGCGCACCGACAAACATAATCGACTCAATTATAAAAATAACCAACTTTTGTTCAAATACCTATTAATCCAATTTCATACAAGGACACTAAATAATTTCAATTTCAATATCTATCCCGAACTTCTTTATAATTCAAACTTAACATGGTTCAATTTGCCAGTTCTTTTCTTAAACTTTTTCCAATATACACGTGTATATTGAATCATGTATTGATCGTATAATTGTCTTACTTTTCATTAAAAAATATTGGAGGAAAAAATTAAATCAGTATCACGATATAACGGCAATCGAGGTAATACCGAATTCAGATTATAATGAAAACGAGTTTAAAATTTTTATTTTTACTTCGGCTTTGTTACATTCTTTAAAATTGATACCCCAGATCAAAAAGTACATTATTATATCAAATTAATCGAAACAATGCAAAAAACGAAAACTGAAAAGGCCTGCCAATTAGAAAATTGAGATAACGAGAGCAATAAGTTCGAAACTGTAGCTTGAATTATTTTTGATAACACACGCGAATGCCGTCGCGTTAAAGCCACAATCTAGCGGTCTCGTAAAAAGTTGTTGCGGAACCGACTCTAACAATCACTGGTTGGAAAATCATTTCTAAAAATACAACCATACGATAGTCCCCGTCTTATATCCTCAAATGTAATAAAAATGTAATAAATGCAATGCCATTAACGAGAGGATTTTCTCCATTCGCCAGTCCAGCGAGTTAACCGTTCGATAAACAGACAGACCAGCTATGAGCTTTGAAAATAAACTAGCGAAGGTCCAATAATTTAAGGCAATCAAATTACGGGCGCGTGGCTATCGTACATAAAAGCTAGTCTAGAAAATGGCTGCGTTTATCTGGTAGGAGCACATCGGCACCCGCACTCGCAAGAGCCGAACCAGAGTCCGGGAACAAAGCGAACGTACATCTCGGCTTCGCATCAAAAACTCGTGGTTAGCATGTGAAATTATTAAGTTTTCGAGCATTTATTTTCGCGCGCGCAAAAGAGCAGGATCTTTTTCTCGATCGATTAGTGCTCGGAGCCGCGCGTTCGAGACATCGTAATACAAGCTGGCTACACAATAAATCCATACGTGTATAAATCCGTGCTGCGCTGCCGCGGCTTCTCTCGCTTGGGTTGCGCGAGCAAGCGAGCGAGCGAGCGACGTTGGAACTGCATCGAGTGAAAGTCGGGCTCTTTTCCTTTAACTTGGTGCCGATCGAACGATTCCGATCGCGCGTGGCTACGTCTAAGCTGCTACATAAGCAGCCACAGCGCCGCTATTGCCATTGCCGTAAATAGCCGCGGAGCAGAGTGAAAGAGCAGATACCTCCTGCGCCGCGACGTGCTAGACAAAATTTTTTACGGCCTTTTTGCTTTGTTCTGATCCTCGACTAGACTGATTTTTCATGCATCAAACATTTAGCACTACTTATTTGCCTTGAGAATCAGCAGCGTTGATACGCGTCTACTGTACGGTACTAGCCTCTCCTTGGTTCGTAGTTTCGTACTTGCTTTTATCATTTATCACTTTTAACCGTTTTCTACTTTTTAATTTTTTTTTCGTACAGTTACTTTAAAGAGCTAGTTCATTTTTTTTCGTTTTTTCGTTTTTCTGCCTTGAACGGAGATGCTATAGACGCTCCATCGTAAACTGAAAGCTCTCATTTTCTGTACAAGTGAGAGCTTTCGCAACGAGAAATTGTTTTTTTTTCGCAAGCGCTACATTTCGAATAAAAGTTTTCGCTTTAATACCAGATGGCTTAATGCACGAAAAGGTTTTAATTTTCTCAGTATTAATTATTTGACGCGGAAAAATCGCGCGGATAACAAAATGTAAGTTTAGATGTAAGTTAGTAAGAGCATAAATTGAACCGAGACTTATGCGAATTAGCATAATTGCATTTTTGTAAATATGCGAATGGCGTACGGAAACTAGTTGGGTATACAAGTCAGAAAGTTTATTATTTTTTTATCTGTCGTTTCTCAAACACTCAGAAGTAAGTAAGTAAGTAGTCGGAAGAAAAAATAATTGTTGCGAAGCATCGTACTCGGCAGATTTAATCCCGCCGAGTATATGTACAGTCGAGTGTGTAAGCAGCCACTGTTGCTGTCGATGTTGTCTCTTGATATGACCTGCTTTCCTATTTCAAAGTCTTGCCTTTTTTTCTCTTTCTCTCGGCTCAGCTTTGTATGCCGGTATATATAACGTACATCGCGATTACATGAACTTTCCGCTGTGTACAAAATGCACCGGGCTTAACATGCGCATTGTCAATAAAAACTCATGCGAACTTACAAACGTACGTACACACACACACACACACACGTCCGCACACAGACATATAAAAATAACATTTTTTCGAATTTGTCCTCGGAAAAGAGTCGCATGCAATACTGAATGTAAATGAGTATAAATGTCACATTGTAGAGATCACACAGAAATTTAATAACGTTTTTCATTGTATTTATATTTCTTATGTAGTTTAGCGTTTTACGAAGCATCTGTTAAGGTAGAAAATTGTTTTTATTGATTAAAATCTCTGAAAATGTTCTTGTCCAACTTTTACTATTCTTACAAATGATACGACGGTTTTATCAGATTAGAACTTTACAAAGTGTGTCAGATTATAGACACGAAAGCAATACATTTTTATGGATATATCTTCGACTTTATTTGTTCCGTTCGAATCGCGGCGTTTTTTTTATCATACTTTACAATACTTTTTTTACGTCAGTATAATTTTTAACGTCATAAGCTGGCTGATTTTCATATAAAAGAGTAACAAGACTCTTGAACAGTTTGCTTCTGCGTAAGCTCGTAAAACTGCACAATGTTCTTTAAAGTAATTTTCATATTTTTTTAATATTCTCGTGTATCTTTTACTATAAAAGGATCCAAACATCAAAAAATGAGAAATTTCTCGCGCGATAAAAGAAGCTATATCGTGTACAAAGTGCATGGTAAAATCAGCCGAGGTTTCGCAAGGCGCGCAGGCATCGTCGACGCCTGCGATGAAAAAAGCACGGAATCATGCACAATCGTGTGCATTGTCCTATAAAATCTTCACGACGGCCTGCGAATGCTCATTTCGTAATAGGCCTTTTATCTAGCGGCGATTTTTTACGAGCCCTCCAGGACTCGCAGCGTATCCTGCCGACGCAAAATGTCCGAAGTCATCGAAATTTGAAAGTGCGTTGTAAAAATCAGTCGCGAGGCTCGTTTGCGCAATGTCCTTATTGTTTCACAGTTTCCCGGAGAAAAACGGCAACGGTGGCGCGCGCGCGTGCGCGCGAACGATGAGAGAGATAAAAAAAAGACGGGAGAATAATCATTTCGGAGCGCGATCCGTTAGAGGCGCATAACTTACATTCGAGCGTCAATAAAGCAGTCGGCAGCGAGCTGATATCAATTACGATGATTAGCCAAGGACTCGAGGAACGAATAAATTAGAAAATTCGATAAGGATCGGCGTAGAAGCTTAATCGGGTTTCTCAATCTGACATAAGAATCAGAGCGCGCGCGGGTTATATCCACACGGTGGCAAATGCAACTCAAAAAGGTTATAAGAAAGTGCGCGAGCGAGACGTTGTACTATACAGGTAGTTGGCTGCAGCGCACATAGAGAGCAGTATGCAGCGGGCATATACAGCGTCGAGCGAGCGGCAGTCGGGCAGGCAGCAGCAGCAGAGATCGGGTCTCTCGCGAACTCGAGTGTACCGTTTGTCAAAAGAATTGCGCGGGCGCACGACAACGGTGATAATTTACGGCAGCAGCTGCCGCCGCCACGGCCTGAGCCGCTGCAGTGCAACGTGCACAGTTAGCGAAGTGCGTCTGCACCAGAGAAGAGAAAGAGATGTATATAGGTATACGAGGCGCTCGTGCAGCAGTCGCTCGAGCTTCGGGATGGATCGGCTGCACGGTGTATATATACGCTATATATATTGTAAGTGCAGCACATTCTCTCGTGCGTCGGTCGCGGGCGCCCATCGCGATTCTCGCGCCTCGTTATTTGCTGCTGCTGCTGCTGCTGCTGCAGCGCAGGCTGAGTCGCGAGCGCGCGGGAGAGCCAGTTTATATGTATGCACCTCTCGCGCCGATTTAGCCTGCGCTGCTCCTATACATTTGCCTTGCGTATACATGTATGCATCGATATACCCGCCGCATCGAGTTATTAGCGCTGGGCTAGACGATAGCTGCCTATCTGCAGTACTCGAGGATACCGCGCGTCCGACGCGTTCGGTTGCTGTTTATCGCGGGGCAGGAAGGGCCCTCGGCCCACGCGCCGATCGACTGGACCTTGCGATACTCGCGCAGCGTCTTTTCCCTCTCTCTATCTCTCTCTCCGCGAGCATCTCTCAGTCTTTCTCCCTCTATATGCGAGTATGTATTATATGAGCGCTCGTACTTACATTGTCTGGCCGATCGAAGGTGCGCACTTTTACGACAGCCTACGTTTCAATGCAGGCACACGCCGTGCGTGCAGCAGCGCTCCGTTATAAATACGTATACATATACGTTGCCATTGTTTCGGGAATATAACGACGCCGTGGCAGTGCTCAACGAGCTTTGTAATATCGGTCACGCCGGCCGCGGACAGCGTACAACTCGCCTTTTTTTTCCTCTTCAAATACACATTCCTCTATTATATGGTATCGCGAGAGAGGCGGATGCCTTTTAGCGGATTTTTACCGACGCGCGCCTCGCGATCACGATCGATTTTCGATTCTTATAATATCTTGACAATTTGTTGCTGCGCGCGCTTTCGAGGAAGGGGCCGATCCTGTGCGCGATATATTTATACATGGCTGCGGCGACGACGATAAATGTTGCTGCGCAATTTACTCTACAAAGTTTCGACTCGAAGTATGTCCCAATTATTCGTGCAGCAGCAGCAGCAGCAGCAACACGTCTTGGAATATCGGAGAGGCGGCACGCGATATTTGCACTCGTTCGAAGGGTCTGCTGCTGCCGTTGAGTGCACGCGTGTTTGCGCGCAGGATACAGAGTCGAAGTGCAGCAGCGCGCTTATATATATCCTTGACGCGAAGCCTCGCGCAGGGTCATCGTACGAATGTACTCGATACGAGGGAGCACAATAAAGAGCAACATCATTAATAACAATAATCATGCTGTAGCTCTGCGCTCTCTGCTGCGACCGACTCTAACTTACCTACGTACGTACGTGTGTACGTACGGCGAGGCGATATAGGATAGAGCGACAAAAAGGCCTACTACCGTAAAGCCGCATCAATCAAGTGGAATACTATATATATATAACGTGCGTGCGTATGTACAGCCGAGGCGGTTAATATCTATACTATTCCACGAGAATGAGCCGTAAGTGCGTTTCGCTCGCTGCGCGCCGCCGATCAACGAAAGAAGAACAAAACACGCGCGCAAAAAAGTACTTACTCGCTGATCGTCGGGCCCTGCATCTTAACTGCGATTCATATACCGTCTGGCATATGTTAATAGACCTATATATATATAAATAAATACACAACTCTGTTGCGTGCTCAATTATGCATGCACGAGATGAAAGAGCATGACTGCAGTGTGTGTACGTGTGTGCGTGCGGTAGCCCTAAGCCGCGTTGTACATCAAAATGCCATTTGCCTGAATAATAAGCCTATTAAATGTTGTTTCAGGCTGCTCTGGAAGGAGTCAGGAAGGAGTCTGGTCTCTTCCGAGGGAACGGGAACTTTGTTGCGAGCAGCAGCAGCAGCAGCAACAGAACTGCCATTGTCGCCGACAGGATGCCTGAGACGGCCGTTCTGGGCCAGCGAGGATCGGTCACGCGAGACTTGCAGTCGAGGCCGCTATCGAGCTTGCACCGAAGACGATGATCGCTCGTCGTCGACGTCGTCGGCGGGACACTCCTTGCCGCGCGTGCTGACCGTTCGAAATAGAGACTCACACGAGTAATAACTCCAGCTCATCCAGTCCTCGTTCGTCCGCCAACAAAGTCACGGCCCATCGGCGTAAGGAGACTTCGTATCGGAGAGACACAGAGCAGTCTGCAGACCGAGCAGCAGCAGCAGCGCATCCAGTACACGGAGTCAGTCACTCCGGCGAGAAGAAAGAGAGCGCCGTTAGAGCGACTCCGGAGGAGGAGGAGGAGGAGGAGGGGAGCCGACGCGCAGCGTGGAGCCCCATGTTCAGGACCGTACGATGGCCGGGGCGCTGTCAGAGAGTGCCCCCAAGCCTGTGAGCGTCGTCCGGGTCGAGGCCGAGCCGCCGCTCACGCCGCCAGCCCCTTCGGCGGTAGCGGCCTTGCTAGCTCCGGCGCTCGACCAGCAGCAAACAACGACAGCGGAACCAATCTCGACCGATGAGGTCGACGCTCGACCGGCAGCGGCGCCGCCGCTGGTGCGCTCCTTCGTGTCGACCGAGGCCCAGACCGAGCTCCAGACGCCGCCGCTGCTGCTGCCACCCCCGGGAGCCGACCTGCTCTCGGAGGAGCTGCGCGACGCTCGGCGTCGGGAGCGCCGCATGCGCCGCCACCACAGGAGGGCCATGCAGCGAGCCAACGCCAACGCGGCCGCGGCCGCCGCCGTCGCCGCCGCCAACAACGCCTGCGGGGTCCTGCCCCCGCCGCCGAGCTACCCGGGCCTCGTGCCGGCCGGCTGTGCGCCCGTGCCTCCACCGGTCGCGCCTGCCGGAGGGAGCGCCGTGCCCCTGGTGGGCCCGACCGGACACTTCCTGCATCCGCCACCGCCGCACCTTGGACTTCGAGGGCTCAGCCTCGGCTTGCCCTTCCCAGTGCCCGCCAGCGTTTCCGCCTTTGGCAGGTCAGTAACCTACCCCGCTCGCTTCTCATCGCCTTCTCTCCATCGCATCTATTTTCCTCTCTTTGTGTGTGTATGCTTGTATTCCATCATTATTGGCCCTTTGGCGCGTCAGCTCAGAAACTCTTTTTCCACTTTGATTGTCTAAACGTTTAACGGGTATTCATCTTCGAGTGCGCGTAGAGATTAACTAATTGATATCATTCATCCTGTTGAATCGTTTGCATTTAAAGATCGTTGTGCCTTTCTTACTATCGCAGACCGATCTTTAATTGCGAGCAATTTTCAAATACATTTTATATAATAACCATTTGTCTCATTATAATTGTCCAATGATTTTATCAAGTCGAAATAATCTACCTTAAAAGAGCAAGTTATCAAAAGAACGAGACTCGAGCGTAAAATAGGTTTCACCTCTCAAGACTATACGTTTAATTCCTAGTTCAATAAGAGCTGCGCGAATAATTAATTTCCATCTTGCTACTCGGCTGTAGAAGCACGCCAAACTTGATATGAACTTGAACAGAAAATAAGCAGTTCAATTGAGCCGGGAGGGAGCTTTTGCGCGCAAAATTAACTGCGACGAGGGAAGAGATACTTGAAACTCGGCAACTCATGTATACACTAGGCGTGTATATATGTTCACAAAGCTTTAATGCGCAGTACTAGAAAAGCTGTTGTTATTTCTATGTCGAAAGAGCGAGCTTCAATTGGACCGAGTCTGCAGTATTAAAACATTCTACCTGATGTATGTTTTTTTAGGACAAGACTGTGAGCTCGCTCGAATATCGATCATTTAAGCCGAAAGTTTTTCAACTAGTTCCTCCGAGCCATCGCAATTACTGTCGAAATAAAAAAAGTATCAAAATTATCGATTAAAAACTTTGGTTTCCTTTGGTTTATTTTCATCGTCAATACCGTATATATAGTTCCGATAGCAATTTGAAAATTGATGCGATAAATCAAACGTTCGCATAAATCAAAAGGTGAAATTTAGTTCGTTAACGAGAATAATGTGAATGTTGCCTTCGACTCACCTTGGTGTAAGGACGGTCCGAATTTAAATGCTTCTCTGGAGGGTGAGCGCAAATCATGGGAACGAGACGAAGCGCGTTCGTGTCAAGATACGCGTGTCTGCATTCGTAACACTTAACAGAGAGAGAGAGAGAGAGAGAGAGAGCCGTGTGTGCGTACGCGACCTTGCAGAGAGATACCGCGCGACATACTCGTCCTGACCAGTTCTGCGCTGCGGATGCAAAAAAGGTCGATGATGCGGCGGTACCCCATAGTGCATCGTACTCCTGCCGCGCTCGAGTTCGAGGATGCATGCGAGCTATCATTTTTCACTCCTCGCAGCGCCCAGAGGCCGTCAAGGCCTTTGTGCCGCTTCGAAAGACACAAAAGTGAATCTTCGGAATGAACTCCCGGAAATGAATACACCGGTTAGACTTGTTCTTCTCATTGTCTCTTCGACGCCGCATCATTTTTCAATCTGCGCGCGATTTTCTGAGAGAGGCGACAAAGCAACGACGCAGATGGAAATTTTACCTTGGTTTATTGTCAACAATTTCGAGTGGGTGTAATATATATGTAGAAATCAGACGATGTAGCAAATCAGATGATAAAGTTATTTATCGATGAGTAATTGTAAATACACATGGGTAAATAACGCATTACCTGGACTTTTAGTGCGTCTATAATCTCGAGTTTGAACGTCTTGTACAGATAATAGGTAATCTTCGCAGCAATGCACACCTCCACTTCCGGCAACGGTGTGGCTCTATCGAGCCCTCAAAGTGACGATCCGCAAGCAAATTACCTACTCGTATACGTGTTTCTTAATCGGAAAAACTGGATAATTTACGCTTTCGAATGAAATACCACAACTGTACGGGAACCGACAAAGTTTTCTTAATAAAAATTCGGTTAACGTATAAGCTCGTTCGTTAAGAGCTAGCGCAATGTACGTTGATAAAGGACAATGCGTTAATTCATTACTCTAAACTTATCCACCCAGATCTTCAGATATGTCATAATGTAATCTCCGCCTCTATGGTCCGCACGCATCGACGATTGTGGGAATCAACGCATAAAGATTTAAGATTCAGCTCCACCCGTATAATTTTTGAAATTGAACAAGTTTCGATGTATAATGTTGCAATTAAAATTGACATTTTGAACTTGGAGCGATAATTGAGCATTTGAGTTTTCGCACGATACTTTCAAGATTGCCTCTACTTGATATAATAAATTATTGAACGTATCAACGGTATAACAGACAAAATTTCATCATACAGTCGGTATCCAGCACAGAAAATAACTATTTAATCGATCGTGCGAAAGGTTATAGAAAATCCACGCTTTAGAAAAGCTTCGGACCCCAACCGGAAACATCGTGTACCAAGATTTTTTTTACCTTTCACTATATACGGGTAAAGCTTCAACAGACTTCATAATGATAGCTTGCGCAACTTCGTGCAGTGCGAAGGTATATTTGTGGCCGATTGTGATTTTTCCTCGCCGACTGCGTCGTAATAAAGCTCGTGATGAGTGTGATTACCGATCCCGTAAATACTCAAATCCCGATCAATTGCCAGCGGAGGTGTTGCTGGCATCGATGTCCGTTGCAATTCTATCCTTTGACATATCCTCCGACTCGAATCATCTTTTGTAAATCATATTTATTATTTCTCGACATGTTTGTAATTTATAGCACATCGGCTTGATTCGCGCGCACTATCAACATATTGTCTCGATCGAGCTTTCTCTTTCACCTATCCATCATTGCAGGAATATTCCTAATACAGATATCGATAATCACCGTTTTGTAATGTATTTGCATAACATGACTCTGTCGATTGCAGTAAAATTTATCATTGTATTCTTAGCTGTTTAGACAATACGTTTGTATTTATCAAAAATTCATTTTGATTTGTTTTACATAAAATGTGCTAATATCGTTAAAATTATTTTATGTGTTTTTGAAATTCATGCACGTGTCGCAAACGTAGGCAATAATTCATGCAACTGTTATTATTGACATCAATTACTTTAGTCGGTGACAAATCATAATTTTGTATTTAAAATTCATTGTTCTCATTAATTAAAAAACTATTCATATAACTTTCTTTGATTTGTAAAATTTCATTGACACGCAGGTAGCAATTATCTAAAAATCGTAAAATGAAATGTCCAATGATAATCTTCGGTACAAGTAATTGGTAAAGCTGCATGTAAAATAGAGTGACACGCGTATATTATGCATGGCGGTGTGCGCTTTATTTTACCGTTACAAGTCCAACTCGCGTTTAAAGTACCCATGCGCGTGTGCGTATACTCCGACGCAGGCTTACACACACACACACGCGCGCGCACACAAACGCACATAATCTCACTGACAAGGATGTGTGCACACACGTACACGCAGGCTCTCGTACGTTTGGATCGCTGTTTACACTTTCAATGCGCCTTTCCAATTGCGATGCAAAGGCCTCGATTTACACATGCGCGCGCGGTCTACCGGGATATCTTGTACGCGCTTCTAAAGATGTTCCTCCGATACTACGCACTCGGAGTCGAGCGACTACAACTCGCAATCTCCGCTCGAGTGAATTTGGCGCGCGCAGTTTACATAGCGAGCTGAGAACAAAACGTTTTGACAGTGCACTGCGTTGATATACTCCAGTTTTTCAACAATTGAATTTTTCCAAATTTGCAAAAAAGACACGTTATACTTTACTTTTCCTCATTTTTCTCATCAAATACTTATTCGATCGGGTCGAAAAAAATTTATTAAAAAGTTCCACAGAAATGGACACTGAACCTAATTCTTATGTATACTCATCGTGTCCTAGCCGCTTGTGGGAACCGCAATAATCGCTAAATAGACACCTAGCGTCGAGAAATCTAAGTAACCGGCGACGAAATTGTCTTTTACGCGGACGTGGCAACATTATTTTGCGTAGTTTTTCTCCGTCTCCGAAGTGCGCGTTGTAAGTCGAGCTGCCAGGCAGGCAGGCAGGCCGGACGTCGTTCGGCAGTCGGGACATTCGTTTGTTAGCGAGCTCGCGCATAAGTGCCCTCAAAGCCCATTTAATCAAGATGATACCTGTAATTACGTTGAATCGAGCGACTCGAGCGCACACCGACGTGTATATACGTTAATTTTGCGCCTTTACTGCTGCAGCGACGTTATTCTCGCTCCTCTTCCTGCAATCGCAGCTCGACGACGAGAGAGAGAGAGAGAGAGAAAGAGAGAGGGAGAGAAATAAGAAAATACGCGAATTTAAAGCGCGGAATGTAGGACAGAAAGTGAAGCGCTGCTGCTGCTGCTACAGCATTCGAAATTCAATCAGCTTTATTACACCCGCGGCGCGGCGTACGGCGCACGAAGCGATAAACCATACAGCGTATACCTATATCTCTGCCCGCTCCGGCAACTTCATTCTCGGAAAGCGTAAAATTTCATTAGGTCCGCAGTGTAGCCTCGGTGCAACTGACAACGACTGCAGTTTCTTCCTCTTTCTCTTTCTCAAAATTTTCTCGAGCCGCGTCGTCGCCGCCGCTGTCGTCGTCGAGAGCCAATGAGACGCTGGCTTAATTGATTTTTCCACACTTTTCTGAGTCATAATTAATTGTTGGTAAACGAAGCTACGAGTCGCGCAACTACGCTTTGCCGAGGCCCATTATTATTGTTGCCGCTGCTGCTGCTTCTATGATATTGCACGTTCAGCGAAATGAGTCGAGGTTTTGACGACGATTGCCGTGCCATGTACTAACGAATGTTTCCTCTCGGCGATATTATAGAGCAATTGCAGGAGACTCGCAGGAATCGGAAAAAATCGCGTGGAATGGCTGAGAGACCGGCACATATATAGAGGAAGCCGCATGCACCGCAGCGATCTCTGCAACGAGGCTAGCTCGAGAGAAAGAGAATGACTATATCGAGCGCAGATAGTATACATAGTTGGTAAAACCCCACCTTAAACTTTTCTCTGCTCGAT